ATCCTGACTTTCAGATTTTTAATTATACAATTGATTTTTAATTAAATGAGTAGCTCTCTGAATGTTCTTGTGAAAATCAAATACTGATAGAGCTACTCACCCCCAGTCCCTGTACTAACTCCCCCTCAGTTACCACACATACAAATATAGTGTGTGTTTTGTGTTTAAAATCATATAAAATTCTGCACAGATCACTATGCAAATTGCTTTGTATCTTTGCACTTTTAATATAAGTGTTCATCTTTTGCTGACACGTAAGAATTCTTTGTCTAATAAAGGCTTCAGTCCTTTCTCTGTGTTTATACTTGTTTTACTCTGTCATGTTTCATTATCTTATGGAGTCTTAGGGATTTTTTTTCTTTTTCAATTTTCACTTAGTGAAATGCATCAATATGTTCTTTTAGGGCAGTGGTTCTCAATGGGGAGTGATTTTGCCCAAGGGGCATTTGACAATGCCCAGAGACATTCTGGGTTGTCCCAACTTGGAGGGCAGGGCTCTGCTGGCATCTGGAAAGCTGAGCTCAGGGACGCTGCTGTACATCCTACAAAGGATTATCCAGCTGAAGTATCAAGAGTGCCAGGGCTGAAAAACTACTTTAAGGCTTTTTCTTTTTTGCTCTCAGGCTTCTTCAGGGAGGCCAGGCTCCCTCAGCTCTGGGCCACAAATTCGCTGCTTTTTAGACAGAGGGTTCAGCACTCCCATAAAACCCGCAAGTGTCAGCTTGTTCAGAGTCCCCTTCTGTGACTCTTGCACAAGGAAGTCCTCTTGCTCTGTACTCCCCATCCCCCCTCCCTCCTTCCTGGTTGCCGTGTCTGCCTTGCTGGACCTCAGCTCCCCAAGGCAGTGCTCCTATGTGTCTTGTCCATCACTGTCTGGCACATCACTGCCTGGCACATCGATTAGCTTCCTGTGTTATTTTTTGCCAGAGTTCAGCTGGCTCCATAATGAAAAGAAGCAGGATAACTTCTGTATTTGCATATATTTGAGTGTGAATCATGCTGATTCTTGACACACATGCCCCAGTTTATAGAGCCAGTAAATATCAGGCATTAAAGTGCATCCTTTAAAAGGCTAAGTCCTTGCTGCAGCATGCTGTCAACACCCCCAAACTGGGAATGTCTCTTTGGTAATTCTCTTTCCTTTTTATGTCAAAAGACGGTACACACATCAGAGTCACCAGATTTGATGACCTTTAGCTGTTTCCAGAAGTCAAACCCACCCTGCCGGAGAAGTGTTTGTACCATGAGAATATTTAAAACAATCTGTTGAGCCTTTAAAGGCGTTATTCCTTAAGGACAAGGAGGGGGACTTAGTATCCTTCTGTAAAAAAGAGAGTTCTTGTACACAGCGGGAGTCAGGACATCATGAGCGAATAATTATTCATATAAGTAGAAATGCATGAATATGCTTATTCATACCCTATGCGTGTGATTAGAGGCAGAGTGTACAGATGAACTAAAGTGACCATGGGCCTGAATTTGAGAAATAGTTTGAGGTTTATGAAATTAGAGAGTGGCTGGCATCATCCGTGTGTTTGTGTGTGTGTGTGTGTATGTGTGTGTGTGGCAGTGTGACCGGCTGGGCAGTGGACAGGCGTGAGGACCTGAAGCTCGGCTTACTGCCACAGACATGTCTGAAAATCCCAAGTGATATGTATTTGTCTTCTGTCCCACAGCCCCCTCCTCCAAAAACAGAGACAAAAAAAGGTCACAATGGAGGCAAAAGAAGTCAAGTAAGTAAATATGTTTGTTTGCCACGCTACTCTGTAACAGTTCGCTTACCTGTTTCCTGCCCCTTTTCCTCTCCCATAGGCTTTTTGCTCCAGGACCCGAGTTAACGTAGATGGAAATTAGATGGTGATACTGCTCCAAGAGCACTAAGCCAGGCCACCCCCAGAGCTGAAATGTCATTCTGCCCCCTGCCTCTCTGGCAGCAGGCTTCTAGGCCAGCACTGCCCGCAGTTGTCCAGCCAGCTGGAATCTCAGAGAGCGTGGGAGGCACTTACGATGGGATACACAGGGACACACACATCGCACGTACAGTAGGAGTACGTGGGAAGCCCTCTAGGTGAAGTGTTGGGGAACACAGATCTCTCTCATAAGTAGCTCAAAGGCATATGGGATGTTCTGGATTTTAATTTGACTACTGCCGAGGAAAGAAAGAAAAGGCACAAGAAGTAGCCGTTTTCTTTCATCTGGTCCCCAAAAGGCACTGAGGCACCATTTCAGATGAACCATTGCCGGAGCTCAGACTTTGCCCGGAGAGTTAGGCAGATGAGCCACGTGGCTGCGGAGCCTCGGGAGACCAGCTGCACTTGATCAGTCCATCACTCTGGGGATCGTGGGTGCTCTGACAGATACCCCTGAATTTTTAGCACTATAGTTAGAACAACCAGCAAGAACCTCGGAGGTGCTGCCGGTGGACGGGGGTTGCTCACGTGTGCGATATTTGCTCTGATAAGCCTGCAATCCCTGCGCTGACGTGAGGGCCTCCAGGGTCTGTTGAAGTCATCAGCAAGAGGGCTCGTAAAGGATAAAAATAAGTTCCCCCTCCAACTTGGGAGGGAGAAGAGAAATGTGTGAATAGAAACAGCAGTAAGTAAAATCCTTGACAGGTGTGTGTACTGGAATGAGCACAACATGGCACCATTAGACCTTGTAAGAGAGGTGGGGGCTGGTGAACAGGTAGCCAGATCTCAGCGCTGTTCCCTTTATCCCAGCACGTTGTCTGATGTGTTCTGAGAAACTTGGACCAAGATCAGCCCTTCCCGAGATCAGCTTTAGTAGGTTTTTTCCCCCCATTGGAAACATGCTAGATGGTAGATTCTAGAGAGGCAGCCATACCAGAATTAGAGGCATGGACTCCAGCTAAACTACCTGGATTAAAACCTGTTCCAAGTTACTTAACGCTCTCTTTATTAAATAGGGACAGTAATAGTACCTGCTTCATGGGATTGATGTAAGGAGTAAAGGTATTGGCTTTATTTAAAGTGTTTAGATTAGTACCCAGCATTTAGTAAGCACCAAATAAGTGATGCTTTCATAGTTTTGAAGGCTCTGTCATGAAACTCCTACGTTGATACACAAAAATTTCCCCAACCATTCCTTTGCTAAATAAAAGTTTCCTTTCATTGACATTAAAAATGTCAGATGGTCTTATATTAACTAGTACTATCAGGAATAAAAATGGGATATTTATACCTAGTTTCATGTTTGCTTTCGAGTATGGTACACACACACATACACGCACACACACAACTTACTGCCATTGCTTTAACTTATGTTATAATCGCATAGTGACAGTTCATGAGGCACATCAAGACTGACTTTGCAGTCAAAGCATATGGCTGCCTTTCCCTGAGGTCATTTGGGTGCTCCAGTTTTCTTCCACTGTAATCCATCCTCAGTGCTGCATCCTTTTGGCTAAAGTCTTCAATCTTTTTAAAAATAAAACCTTTCCTGAAGCAGAGTTCCATTTTTAACAGTTATATTCTTCTAAAGGAAAATGGAACATAGGGAAGAGGAGGTTTGGAGGAAGAAGACAGTTAGGGGCAGGTAGGCAGACCTTTATAGCGACACAGTCACCAAGCTGGTGGTTACGGCTCAGGTTAGTCCATGTGCAGTGGTAGAGCCATGGGCAACTAGAGAGAGAAAAGTGTGTTCTCAGGTCAAACTTGAAAACCTAGAGAGTAAGAAAATCATCTCCAGATACTGTAGGACAGTCATCCGCCCAGATGAGTGGGAACTAGGGGCGGGATAAATCGAGAATCAGAGGGACCTCATCTTTGGAGACTGGTCTGGTTGTAAGCTGCCAACCACTGGAAGCTCCAAGAATCTTACTGTGCTGTATTTACATACATGATCTTCTTTTGATCTTGCAGCAGCCAATCACTGGCAAGATGTCCCATCTTGGCTGTTTAACCATTAATTATGACACCACAGAGCAGCCACTGCTTCTAATACAAGGGATCTGTGCGAACCTAGGGCTGGAAATGGGAACAAATCTGCATCTAGCCATCAACTGTGCTGCGCACGAGCTGATGGACTATGTAAGTTTCCACTCCAGAACATTTACTTTTTGTTGAAGTCCCATTATTTTAAAATTAGAACTCAAGAGAAGAGCCTATGTGTATAATTTCCAAACAAATCCTGTTTTTAAAATTAGTATCATATGACTGGTCAAATATAAATGGAGTTGAGAAAGCCAAGTTAGCTAATGACCAGGCAATAATATAACCATGTAACTCTAAAAATTTAACAGAAAATGTCATAATAATTATGTATAGGAATTCTGTAGTAAAAGTGACTAAAATGGATTGCTTACATTGCAATTGTGAGAGCTATGGAAAAATAATTTAACAAACTGGTGTTCTACTGAGTATGTTCATTTGGTTGGTGGATGCCTAGTTGGTCAAGCATGAAAAGTGGCTCATTTGTAACCATGACTTGAGAAGCCCTTCTAGACACATGGTTCTTGACGTTTCTGCTGGTGACTTACTTTTTAAATATAAAAATACTTCCAAGTTACTGAAGTTTATAGAGAATAATTAATAATAGTAATTAAAGTAAAACTCAGGGGACATGACTGAATAGGATTCCACTTTAACTTGCAATTCTAACTTTTAACTTCAAAGGAAATCTTAAACAGTATATAAGAACCCTAAGTTTCAGCTGACTTCTAAAAGTTTTTACTTTTCTAAAAAAACTAAATGCATAAAGGGATGTTTAATGTAATTTCTTATTCTTCACATAATGATTGGTTCCTAGGCACACCATTAAGAAAAATAATTATATGTTTTCATCAGCAGCGTATATCAAGAACTATGAATGTGCTGACTGCTAGTGCTAATTAAAATGGGTATTTATTGCTTATGTTCACTAAAACACATTAGCTTGATATCGGATAATTCTTACAATGTTAGTTCAAAGTCATTAGCATTTCCTGTTTAACAAGATAGGATTGTAAAAGTTTTGTGGTGTAGAAACTAAAAGTTCTTGCTGCTTTTTAATGTGAAAAAAGGTATAAAATCTTTTCAGTTATAGACTTCTTAGGAAGCTGCTTAATTCCAATGTAATACATTCTGCTAGGAGCAATAGGAAGGCATAGAACCAAAGAGCCATTCTAGTCCATTCCACTTCCCTCCCAGTACCTAACTATCCCAGCTGCCAGCCCTGCGCACAGACTCGGCGTGGACATAATGGTGCTGGTGTTGCAGACTACGCCAGATCTTCCAGCTCTGTGTAATTCTATCCTTAACGACGTGGGGGCTTTCCAGACTTCAAATGAATGGGTTGCACTAGAACTCCACTTTCAAAACAATATTGTTACTACCAGAACTTGCATGCTTGCCTTCGGTCTCTTTACATTTCATATTGGTGGTTAGTATCTCAGAAGCCTGGCCCTGCGTTCAAATTTTAGAATATTCACAGCTAAAAAAAAATAAGCAATTTGTTCACTATGAGGTGAAAGATGGAGATGCCAGTGAGTAGGCAGGTTTGCATTGCTGTTCTGTGTATGAATTTATGTTATTGCTCATCACTCAAGCAGCTAGGTATCTGGCACCATGTCATAAAGCTTAAGAAAGAAATTATTCCCCTCCTACTCTGTACTCGTTTTTTGTGCCACAAGGCTTCATCTGAAGTCAGTGGGAAGAGCTCTGTGGGGCATAGAGAGGAATGCTGACTTGATTTTGCCAGTTTAAGATATTTAAAGTAAAATACATAGATTTCTTTTCTTTTAAACTGTATTTTAGTTTTTCCTTCCAGTTTTAAATTTTCTTAATTTTAGTTTTTATTTTTATTTTTATTTTTAAATGAGGTTTGTTTGTTTGTTTATTTAATGGAGGTACTGGGGATTGAACCCAGGATGCTAAACATGCACTCTACCACCAAACTATATACCCTATCCCCCCAAATGCATAGATTTCTCATGTGAATGTGGCCTGAAAATGTTTGTAATCTTTTATATGAAATGAATGAAAATGGATTTAATGTTTGAAGAATTCATCATTTATTCTTTATTTTAATATCTTCCTTACACTTAATCAGAGTAAAGGAAAGTATGAAGTGATGATGGGAACCTACAAAAATGCAGCTGAGATGGTTGACCTGTATGTGGATCTGATCAACAAGTTCCCTTCGATTATTGCCTTAATTGATCCTTTCAGGAAGGAGGTAACAGGATTCACCTTGAATTTTATAGTAAAACAGAATAAAATCTCATTCTTTTGCATCTGTAGATTTGAAATGTGTTGTAATTTGGACTGGGCCTGAGTTGCTTTATTTTAGCATTGGTGAGAAAAGGCACTTACTAAACAAATGAACAGCAGAAGCACAGTTACACAGGCGTGTGCCTGCCTGCAGATGAAACAAGCACTCGCGGCACCCAGGAGTGTACCTGCGTGTTTACAGGCCACCTTACCGACGGCCGGCGAGCCCGCTGTGCTGGCTGGTGCTTCCATTGGTTAATCACATGTCATTCTCAAGTGCTCACGGAAACAGGACTTCAACTAGGCCAAATGTTTCCTAACCTAAATCCAGCTACGACACATACATTAAAGTTACAAAACCACATTTTAAAAAAGTTTTTGAGAGGTTGAGGTTTTCTAATCTGTTCAAACTAATGCATCTGACAAGGGTTGTTTATGTGCCCATTGAAGGACGATCTCTCTCCCTAACCCGCTTAAACTTCAAAACTTTACATTCTTTATTTTGAGAATTCGCGAACCATTAGCTATAGTGGGCAGATAACCTCTTTGAGATAACTCAGCTATTTCAATTTGGGGGACAAGAAGTGTGCTGGATCTTAGAGCCCCAGGCTCTCTCTGTCCCATCTTTCCTTTCGCGGCCTGGGATACACCCCAGCACCCATGCAAGGTGCTGACTCATCCCAGTTCTTGAATCTTGCCAGACCTATCTTCTGCTGCTTGTCCTGAGGCTCTGGCCACAGCTCTTTTTAATGTGATAAGATGCCCCTATATAGTCTACTGGTAGGACAGGTTGAAATCTGGTACAGTGGTTGGGAGACTTTGTATATTACTATTTAAATAACAAGCATTTCACTTCATTTGGTGGTCTCACCAATAAAAAAATAAGGATGTGGACAATGAGGGTCTACAGCCCTGCAGGCTTATTTCTTTCAGCTGTCTTTTTACCAGAAGTAATATTAAAATCTGAGCAGCTGGTCATTAGCAGCACTATAGATAACACAGTGGGAGGGAATAGCCTGTGTTTGAAGGACATCAGAATCAATGTGGAGAATAGCATTTAATGTAGGTTAACATTTTTTATTCGCTAGGTCTTTTGGCTCAAGTTTAATCACTTTAAGTTTCTGTTCCATGAAGCTTGTTAATTTGTGTGGCTTTGGTATAGGCACCATTTAGCAACAAATGCAAAAAACCCCCCAAAAACCTGTTTTGTGTATCTCCAAAAGATGTATAACTAATTATGTGCTATATGATCCCTGTCATTTTGTAATGATCTAATTAACACATTATAATGATCGATTCTTAAATATTCACCCAGGACTCTGAACAGTGGGACAGCATCTACAATGCTCTTGGTTCCAGGTGTTACATAATTGCAGGAACTGCATCCAAAAGCATTCCTAAACTTCTAGAGGATGGGAACGTCAGTGTCCTCAGACAGAGTGGGCTCATCATAAAACACACGAATCAAACCACGGTGTCTGACTTGGTGGAAATAACCAATCTTATGGACAGTAAGTAAAAGTATAGGTCTGACAGACTCATAATGAACTTAACTTGGTCATACAAGAAGCCAAAAATATGCAGTATTATCGGTTAATAAAAAGCATGGAATAACTCTTGGAAGGGAAAAAAAACCCCAACTATCTAAGAAAGATTTGGTGCTAGAAAACAAAACGCAGCTTATTACTGATTCACTTGTTAATGTTCCAATGACGGCCCCATCCAGGAGCTCATCCCCTTTGGGGGTGGAGGGGGTGCTACCGCTGCCCTCTCAGCTTCACACAACACTGTAGTGATTTTTTTAATCACCCCCACACTGGCTTTTTTTCAGTTCCTCCAAAGTTTTATCAAAATCTTTACAACCTTGAGGTGATTGAAAAGCTGTTCTTTCAGCCTAGAATGCTTTTGCCCTGTACTGTTTAGTTTGCTGACTGCTCTTGCTCCTTCAGGTCTTTTTGCCTTAAATGAAACCCCTTCAGGTATCTATGCCTTCTCTGACCTCCCCCACCCCTCGCTGGTTGCTCTGAACCTTTGTCATCCTGTATTTTTCAGTTGTAGTACTGGCCACAGTAACGTGTACCACTGTTTAATGTCTGGTGTCCTCCACTGGACTGTAAATTCCCATGAGCTGGTGGGAGTCTTGTTCACTTACGCACAGAGCCTGAAACCTGAATATTGTGAGTGGGTCTCAGGAACCAGGCTGGCTAGTCTCAGACCTGGAGCAGGACTCAGAGCACAACTGGCAGCCAGGGGCTGGGCTGGTGCCAGGGGCTGGAATGAAACGCTTGTAGTCCCGGAGTCTGCAGGCTGCCCCAGTCCAGGGCCCAGCAGAGTGGCTTGCGGGGGTGGGGGTGTGGGCAGCCCCAGGCCTGGCCTTTCCTCCGGGACCACCCCGCGGCGGTCAGTCTGTCATTCACTCCAGATCGCCGCTGTGCTCCTGCCTCTGAAACACAACACTGTCACCACAGGAAGAACTTGGGCAAATTTGAAGGGTTTTGAGATCCTCAAGTGATTGATTAAATACTATCAAGACTGGTCTTCTAAATCAACATTCAGAGCAACAGATTCCTTTGAATAAAATGTCACATGATGAATTGTGACATCCATTATTTAGGCATATCAGCTCCCCACGTGCCCTTGCACTTACCATGTATTTTGACTGAAAGATGCACAGTTTTCGACACTGAACATGGATGACCTTGAACCGCGTCTTATAGCTGTGGTCTTAGAAATGTGCCCATCTAATTTGAACACTTTTCCTCTTTGTTAGTAATAATGGTGCCTCTTACAATTTATGTTAGCTTAACTTTGAAGAAACATGGCATCCATTTAGTATTTACCATCTCAACTACTGGAGAAGGGCAAACAGATAAAACAGGGTAATAAAAATGCAAATGTTTGGATTAGAATTCTCAGGTGGTCAAATAATTGACTCTTCACAATTTTAAATCTCTGGCAAATTTTAAATTTTGATCCCAGAGGCTCATTTATTTGCTGATTGTTTCCACACCTTCTAACACTGAAAAGAATTCCTCTGTTTGTAGGTAAGAAGCACGTCGCTGTCTTTGGAAGTACAGAAGGAGAGTCGTCCGATGACAGCCTTGTCGATTTGGTAAGTGCTAAAAACCGGTCAATTGCACAACTGCCAAAACACTGCTTTTATCACCAATTGGTATTTCAGAGAAATGCAGTCTTTGGCAGAGAAAGTCATGTAATCTTTTATGAAATAGACTTGCTTCCTCCCAGACAGCTACCTCTTGCAAAGAGCTAATCTTTGAACTTTTAAAAAGAAGAAAAATTGAAGTCCTGGGGAAATGATGAGCACACTTAAATGACTGGGTGTGTATTTGCAATCTTACCTCCTAAAACGAAGTGAGAAAGGCCAGAATGTTCTCAGATAAAATCAGCATGCTTACCTGACTGGTAGGGCATCTGATGTATAGTCACACCATCTCTTTACCCTTGACACTCTCAGCTTCTGAGCAGGCCACTTGACTTACGTGAAGATGAGAAATTAACTTACGATAGAGAAACCACAACGGCACACAGAGGCAGTGTCCTTTCTCCTTAAAGAACTGTTTGTATTTTAGCAAAATATGACTCCATTTAAAGTAAGTGTTCCCCGTCCTTCAGGCTGTTGGACTTGGTGTTCGGTTTATCAAGTTGGGAGGTCTTTCTCGCGGCGAGCGGGTGACTAAGTACAACCGCCTGTTTGCTATAGAGGAAGAACTTGTCCAGAATGGAACACTGGGTACGTGCTGCTTTCTTGCTTTGTTTTCACTAAGCCATGAATAAGAGAACAAAGACTGGAAGGTGGGGAATAGAAGGCTCTCGGCAGGAGGGCAGGGGAATCCAAAGACGATAAATAAGTGCTGACAAAACTAGGATGGCATCTGCCACAATGTGGATTGCCTTCTTAATGGGTTATCTGTTTACCTGACTGTTTAAAACTCTCGCCCTTCTTCTTGACGAACGGGCTGTGTGATGCTTTTCAACAGAATTAATTGATTGGAATTTCCAAGCCTACCTTTTGTTATGGTCCAAATTATACTTAAGGGTTCTCTGCACAGCACATGAAAGTTAAAGGTCGATGTTTCCCTGGGGCTTCTTGGCAACAACTCGTTTTACTTAAGACAAATAGCACATTAATTTAATGTACCTTGGAAAGGCTGTGGTCTCAAGAGAAATGAACCAATCATTTATGACGTCAGATTGTGTAAGTCTGCATGGGTAGAAGCACCTTGGGTACTGGCTAGCTGGAAACACCCTAAATATGCATTTTCACTCTTTATATATTACTGACTGGGATAGCCAAAACACAGCGTATAAAGACATTCTAAAGAGACCAGTAGTTGTCTGTGTAATTCTAAAACTATTCTGTATTTAAAAATAGAATTGATATACTGAAAAAAGTATGTTATTTAAGTAGTGCTGACACTTACATACTATAAATGAAATCTATTCAGTGAGACGTGTCATAGAATGTATTGTGGAACATATGCCAATTATTGGACATGAAAGCAAGGAAGGGGTCCTACTCTGTGACTCAGTGTAGGTATTTTTAAAAAGTAAAGAGACCAATAGAAATACAATTTAAAGTGTGTCAGGTTTAACAGATGTAACGACCTTGAAACACATCCTAAGATTTATAGAAAAAAAAGATATAATTTGGAGACTGTTTCTGAGTCATGTAAGGGCAGTCAGAAGTTAGTTTGTACTGTTTAGTGTTAACATGTCCACATGAGGGCTTACTTTTTCAAACAGGTAAAACTACATTGTTCCTACATAACATCTGATAATTTTTTAATTTTATCCTGGCTTATGGAAGCTTTAGATTCCTTAAATGACCTATCATATTTCCAGCCAGACTTCACCACAAGGGAAACAGCTGCTTCAGGGCATCAAAAAGGACTCTGGTGACCGGAGGCCCAGCCCCTCCCTGGTGACAGCGCAGGCCCCCAAGCATTCCGGAATGGATTAACAGATTAATGAGGATTCCTCTGACATTGGCGGTGGTCAGTAGATGTGAAGGGGGTCCAAAAACTGGAAAAACAGATCGCTCCACTGAGGGACCGAGTAAGAAATCCTGGTAGAAGCTTGGCCACTGAAACACCATCACTGTTTACGTGGACCTGCCTGGAAGCGTCTAAGTCCACAGCAGTTTATCCTGGAATAGTTAGTTGGCAACGGTCTGTCTTGACAAAGAGAAGTTCATCTTTCTCTTACCATTTGCTGCTAAGACTGCCCAAAGTCCACTGCACATCAGATGTTCCAAAATGTTGTCTAAGGGCGCAGTGCAGACTGAACAAAACAAGTGTTGCAGTTAATGTGGAACCAGCGACAGGTCCACTCTCAGGTGGTTGTAGAAGCCTTTCATATAGGGATGACACCTCTGGACAGTTCTGAAGATGATTTCCTTTAAATCACGTAACAAATAACATCAAAATCGGCACCACTGGATTAGACAATATACTTTATTGTTTTTTTTTTAATAGGTTTCAATGAAGAACACACATTTTTCTACTTGAGTGAGGAAGATGAAAAGGCTGCCGTGGCTGATGAGATGCCCGGGCCCCCGGGGCGCATCTTCCCCACAGAAGTCGTGGAGGAATCAGTCAAAACATGAGCACGCTCTGGACAAGGCTGCACACTCCCCCGCCTACAGCCGCACCGCTGCTGTGATGAGACTGGTAGCTCTGAAGTATGTCTTCATTTTGGTTTTGCTCTAAAACTTCACTAACTTATGCGCTTTTTTCTTCTTTTAATTTCACTGGTGAAATACAGATAGTATTTTGCCGAAAATTACACCTGTGAACCTTGTCTGTCAGCCATCACATTTCTATGGGGATTTTGTTTGTATCTGAGCTCTCTCCTGTCCATTTTGGGGGCTCATGACTTAGTACAAGAGTCCAGTACTTTTGTCACCAACTCCATGCTCAAACACCTCAATTATACTTTACAAATCAAAACAACTCTGAAAACAAAAATCTTTTACATTAGGTGCTCTGTGTGCCAGGAACAGGCGTACATCTTCTGATTTGATCTTACATATCCATGCTAGAAAGCACAAACACATTTTTAGCCACCCTCATGCAGAAGTATGAGTGTTTCAGGATTTTTGTAAGAGCAAACAGCTTCCTCTCACTTTCCTACCCTTAATTCCCTTTTCCCTGATTCCCACCTCTTTCTAAATTTTAGTTTTCCTTTATTATTCATACCATTGTGGGTCTCCTTAGATCCTTTCTGGAAAAAGAATGAGTGTAAGTGAGTAAGCACATCAGTGAGTGAATAAACATTCTTAAGGCAATGAAATGCCCAGTTATTTTTACTACAGGATTTAGTAGGTGATTAAAAATGCTGCAACATAAGATTGAATTGTCTTTTTTAAAAGCCAGTGTTGGGGGTACAGCAGAGGAGTACTAGAAATAAACATTTTCAAACACATACCTATAGATATAATAATATCCAACTGTTTTATATGATTTAGATTCTCTGTTAAAAGTTACCATTTGCTTTTCCTACAGATTATATAAACTGCTATGTACTGACCTGTGGGAGAGCTGGCTAAGTTTAGATTTCTGATACATTCCGTAAGTTTTTACTAAGCACACTGAGGACCTGTCCTTTTGGAGAGTACTAATAGGGGAACTTACTGGCCTTATGGTAGAGCCAAGGTTTTACTCTAAAAGCAGGCATTTAAAATAGCCTCAGTGGCAGATTGTCTCAGAGCACAGGCAGGAGAATTGGTAACACCCTACGCTGGGAGAACTGTGGCACAGCCTGTGGCTGTTACTGCCTTTCTGGATGCTTAGTGATGAACAATGGGTTATGAGAAACTGGAAGAAAAATTCATTTTAAAGTCAAGAGGAACATAACTAAATGTTGACACAGCCTCTGCACATGTACACTTGTATACACACACACACACACACACACACACACACAAAGTGAAATGTGGGGGAGATCATAGGAGAGTATGCACTGGAACTGTGATACAAATTATAAGTAAATGATTGAAACCAGAGGAAAAATGTGCAACTATGTTAATAACTAAATTCAGTTAACCAAAGAGGTGATTTATCACCTCAACCAAGTCAACATGGAGCATAGCCTATTCACCGTTTTCTCACTTGAGGATTGGGGTCACCAAGGGAGCATTTTAAATTTCTGAAAGTGATAAGCAGTTTCTATTTATCGATTTTCCCTCTCTACAAATATGGAAAAGAATATATAGTAATAGATATAGAACATATAATATTACACGGACAAGAGATGAAAGCAGCTCGTCATACACCAGACTGGACAATGGCAGTGGGGCTGGGGAGTGTTAGTGCTCAGAGGAAACCACACAAAATCCAGTCCTTCAGCAAGGCCTGCTTGGTGATCCTCTTCAGGTCAGTGATGATGACGGATGGTTATCCAGTCTCCACAACCTTCTGCCGTATAAGCTGAAGTTGTTCCTTCATCATGAAGGTGATTAAACATGCACAGTGTGCACTTACAAAAATCATCCACTTTGTTTTTAAGATTCTGTGACACAGACTATCATTACCTGACATACAACCTAAAAATGGTTTGGGAGGAAAATTAATCTTTGCCTGTACTGCTCCATTTCGAACAAACATTTTACTGTTAACAAAAATGTAAGGAAGGAGGAATTACTGTGAGCAGCCAAAGCCAAAGCACCCATCTTCTTTACTCAGGCCAATCAAGGCTGGGTGGCCTTAGCCCTGTTAACTCTTGCCAATCAGGATTTCCACAGGACTGATTAACTGCTCACGCCACTGTAGGTGAGGAGTGTATATGAGACTAGCTCAGATACAAAAGGGTGTTAGAATTAATTTTATGAATTAATTTTAAATGCTTTGTGATCATGGTGAAGGAATAAGCAGCTCCAAAAAGGCAAGAACACTTTCAAATCCAGTGACTAATTGCTGCCTGGTCCGGCTAATACATTTCACCAAGTGGCCAACTCCTTACCCTGGAAAAGGTGCGTGATGAAACCTGGAGTGACAAGTGTTTGTATTTTCATATTCCTAAATGTGTGTAACACACATGCCAGCAGACTGGTAACAGACATATGAATGCAGAAAGCAGGAAGAAACAGTAAAATTCCTCAAATAAACCATTTTGGGGATCATTAAAAAACTACGAATGTTATGAAGTCTTATCCAAGTTTCTTATTAAAGAACGTCACGTTTGTAGAACTAAACCAAAGATGTCAATAACCACAACCGACCTTTAATGGGAAACCGTTGGTGCTTTTTAATACGTGTGGTGAGGAGAGTTCAAATCACAGCATAACAGAACTGGTTTAAGTGAATTAACGCAGTTTGTAGTAAGTGTATCATAGAGCAGTATTATTCAATTAGAGGAAGTCACAGTTGAAAACCATTACACTTTAATTCCCTATGAATAAACTGTAACTGTGAAATCAACACTGGAAGAACATGGAAACAGTCAAGCATAACGAACCTACAGAAAGATAATTATCTCCCAATTTAGGAAGTACAGTTGCCTGCCTATCCACCTTTCCAAGCCTATGCTTAGCATACGTGCAAAAATAAAACACAATACAACTACTGCAATTCTTACTATCATTTTCTTTTGCCCTTAGGTGAGAAACACCTGACAGCTTCATGCTGAGCCATGCTAACAAAACTAAACCTTTCACTTTCTTTAATAGTAAAATTACCATTACTGAATCATTGTCATAAAAAAAAATGCAGTCAAGTACATTACCACTTATTTTAAATAAACACCAATTTTGAAACAATCAACTTTGAAAAGCTGCATAAGTTTTTTTAAATCCCTGATTACATTTCTCTTTATTCACTGTGGTAGACTGAAACATTGTATTTTTAGAGACTAACTACCACTTAATTTCTTTTTTTAAAAAACAACAACAAACCTGTGTAATGCAGAACAGCAGTGAGGCAAGAAAATTGTATGCTTGTCACTTATCATCACTGTGTATAAGAACTCTGATAAAATACGGTGCTTGTGCCACATGAGTACATGGGAAAACGCAATTAGCTCATAGCACAGAGCACACGGTCTACCAAGATAAGACTCTAAATTCAAGGTTTGGACTTTCACTCAATTCTGCACTCAGGCCACTAAAGCATTCCCTCCAAAGTCCTTGGGAGGTTTTAGACACAATCAAGAGCATGTATCTTTCATCCCATAGTTAATAATGTGTGTAATTAACATTGAGTATGGGACTACTAGTTTGATGCCAGCTCCTGAATTGTAAGCTTATCTCAGTATATCCAAGAAAGTCATTTGTATGCCACAGTGCCTAACGATTTCCATGCTACTGCAGTTTCTCCAAAAAAGGCTCAGACCCAAAACAGAAGCTTCTCTGGGGGCTTTTTAAATCACCTTAAGCCGGTCAGTTCTGTTTAGCCAATTATCCACAAGTGCTGCAGACGTTCAGCATTAACATTTGATTAGTGGTATGCACATTACCTAAGATATCAGCATCTGCATTTTCTGTAACCTTCTAAGAAGTCACACATAATACAGTAATCAGAAAAAAACCTTATCCTTATAAAGATCCAAAAAAAAACCCTACAAAGAACGTGTATAGCTTACTTATAATTTATGAGTGAATTACTTACAAAAGTGACATCAGAAAAGAACCTATATACTGAATACAGTGACAAGAACGATGTCTGTAGCCCTTGCCAACACACCAAAGCCAATCATGTGCTTATTAAGAAGGACTTCTAAACGTGTCAGCCTTCGGGTTCACGGATCAGCAGCTGGAGCTGTCTGTATCTCTTATTTTTTCAACGCTGTCTTCTTTGTATTCTGGTTTAATTTCACCATCATCCTTGTGTTGAGCTGGATCTTTTTCAGCGCCCTGGTCTTTGGTTTGGGATTCATATGTGGAAACAGGATCTAAAACTACAACTGGCTCAGCTTGCTTTGCACGGCCAATGCACTGTCTCCTGTGTCCAGTGTTATTGGGAGGCCTGGGGGATGAACAGTTAAACAGAGAAATTAAAAGCAGAGAGAGAAAATATCTGTCTTTCCTATTCCTGATGAAACTGAACAAATTGAGGATTCAGATGAGCAAAAAATCTAAAATGTTCTAAGTCTAATCACCATGCAAAAAGTGGTCTTTGAGTTGCCAGCCATTAAAAAAAAAAAGCAGCTATTAGATTACATATTAGGAGCACAAGGCCAGAAGAAAGGCGGAAAAAGTCAGAGCAATTAACTGCGGGAAGTGTTAAAAAGCCAAATGCACCTACCTGCTTAATTACACACTCTTCTCAGGATACTCTGTGCGTACCTCCCACTGCCTGCCGGCCCCCGGACTCCCGTCCCACCCCAGCTTAGCTGGAAGGAGCCAGTCAACCCCTGCCTTTGTGTCCCTGGGTATATGTGCTTGCAGATTAGCTCAGAGGAGACTGCGTTAAGGAGGAAAATAAATCACCCCCATCCCTGATGGATTACTGGCAAGAAGAATTCTGGTCAGACCTGGGGAGGGGTGAGGGAAGGAACATGGGCAGATGGGAGAACCCAGAGAATAAGTTAAAATGTTAAGTTACCATATACTTTTTCTAAAAAGGAGAATCTTGTTTCTTGAGAAATTTCTTACTGAATTTCAAAAGCAGTCTTTTCCCACTGAGGTTTCCTCTCTTCTCTTCTG